GTCTCGAGGGTGCTGACCCGTCCGCCTCGGGTCAGCTGACCCTGACCCGGCTGAGCTGGGCCGATGCCGGTGTATACGAGTGCCGGGTGAGGAACCCGCAAGGTCAAGACGCCGCCCGGCTGCGGCTCGACGTGTTCGGTGGGTGGTGCAAGGTCGCCGGCGGTGTCGCCGTCTGGTGTTACCTAAAGCTGCCGCCTGGCGGCGCTAGTGCTGACGGCTGATGGACATTAACTCCGTCCCTAGGTAAAGTGCTGCCACCTAGCTCGGACAATTTACATTGGTTATGGCACTGTCGGTGCAAAACTTAAGACTACACTTCTACGCTGGCTTTTCTCAAAGCGATAGGCTCAAGGATCAGCTCCTATCAATTATCTGGTTATGCCTTTGCCGGGGCCACATTGCTAGAATTATTCAATATAATGTTTGGCACTTATCATTGCCATGATCTTCTGCGGCGGGCTTTGAATTTTAAACTCGATTGTATGTTAAATTTTAGATTAGCGCTAATAGATTGTTGTATATGGTAACAGGACTATTTACCAGTTTTGATATAAACGCCCTTTTAGCTTGCATATCCTTGTTTTAGGGTTAAGTTAAGAGTTGATAGCATATGCTTCAACAGTACCTTCCGTATAACATATTTATGGATGCTGGCAATGGGTGCTCTCAGAAAGTAACTTTCATGGTATGGCTTTTAAATCTGCGTATTTGTATGATATATTTTCACGTGATTTTGATAGTTCTGATGATAGGGGGGGTGATGTTGCATCCTCCGGGGAAGTCATCAGGTATCCGAAGCGGACCCAGCTTCTCCGTTTATCCAGCCTGCGCATGTCAGAGCACCGCTAAATCTGACGGCCGTGACCTTGCTCAGATCCATTCGAAGAGAGGCCAAAGATCCTGGGCGACGAGCCCCGGAGCACAGCTGTGGACGCTGGGCGTCCGGTCACACTCCGGTGTCACGTGACAGGGAGCCCGCCGCTGCAGGTCAAGGTCAGTCGGGCTTCCCACGCTCAGTTGGTCATAGCACGGTGTTGTGCCGCCACAGAAATCCCTCCTCTCCAAGGCAGGGCGAGTGAATCTATGAATCGCACCGTAGCGAACCCGCCACTGCAAATCACGCCCGGTCTGGCTGCGGTGTGTCGCCGTTACGGTCCAGCTCACGCGCGAGCTCTGAACGCAGCCGTGACCCTGCTTCGCCTGCCGCCGTCAGTGGCTGAAGCGGCTGGACCCGGCCGCCGTGCCGGCCAGCCTGGCCGCCGCCGCCGCCGTCGAGGTGCTGGACGGCCAGCGATACCGGCCGCTGAACGTCTCGCGGGCGGTCAGCAGCCGGCCGGACGAGCTGCTGGTCACGCTGGCGCTGGCCAGCGCGCGGCCCGCCGACGCCGGCCTCTACCTCTGCCTGGGCGCCAACAGCGGCGGCTTCCGCACCCGCGCCGCCCGGCTCAGCGTCAGGGGCAGGGTGAGCTCGCTCGACCGCCGACAGACCGGTGCCTGGGGGATGGCCCTCCAATGGACCGACACGTGGGGGATTGCCCTCCGACGGACCGGTGCCGTGGATGCCTGTCGACAGACCGGTGTCTGGGGGATGGCCCTCCAATGGACCGGCGCCTGGGGGGATGGTCCTCTGACGGACCGGTGCCGGGGGCGATGGCTGCTGACGGGCCGGTGCCGGGAGGGATGGCTGCTGACGGGCCGGTGCCGGGAGGGATGGCTGATGACGGACCGGTGCCGGGGGATGGCTGCTGACGGGCCGGTGCCGGGAGGGATGGCTGATGACGGACCGGTGGCCGTGGGGGATGGCTACTGCGCCTGGTCTGACGGATCGGTGCCTGGGGGGATGGTGTGACGGCCGGTGGCTGGGGGGGTGCTCGACCGGGCAGGGGGAGGGGACGGACCGGTGCCGGGGGGGAATGGTGCTGGGACGGACCGGTGCCTGGGGGGTGGCTGCTGACGGCCGGAGCTGGGGGATGGCTACTGACGGATCGGTGCCTGGGGGATGGGCGGTGCTGGGGGGTGGTGCTGACGGACCGGAGCCTGGGGGATGGGTGACGGACTGCGGGGGGATGGCTGCTGACGGACCGATACCTGGGGGCGATGGCCGGCACACCTGCCAGTGGGAGGACTGGGGGAGCGAGAGACACCGAATAATGCGTCATGTTGGTGCGGTGTACGACCAGCGGGCGCGGTGTTCTCGGTGCAACTCAGCCTAGTTAGGTATGTTATCAGTGTTTTGGCTCATCACTGGTTAAGTAATCATTTTGATAACGGCTCGGGAACCGGAGCGATATGTTGCAATCTCTACTTGAAGAACAGTGCCCCCATCAATACGTGAATGGTGGTGAATTCCGACGAATTTACCAAATATTTATCAATATTCACCAGCCCCACATTTCATACCTCGCTCCACAGCCAACTATCTAACTCGCTGGCTCACTCCGATGGCCAGAGGCGTCACTTTATAAACCCTCGGGACCCCAGACCCCATCGCTAACTTAAGCCGCCGCTCGGTGCCACGGTGGTATTATCCTGTTTGCATAACTCGCCACCTTTAAAACGGAGTGTTATAAAAAGGCAACTTTGTGTTGTACCTTGTTGCGACTTCATTGCGCGCCTGATGCACTGTTAAACAGGGACGTACGCAGCATTTTACAATGGGGAACACATCTCATAAGTGGAAATGGAATAAGGTCCGCGACAAGAGCGTGCAATTCCTTGTGTGTCTAAAACAACATCACATGTTCTCGATTGTCTCATTTTCATGTGTCTACGTGGAGCCTCTTACCGTCAACATTGAGTCAAGTGTATACTAATGTGTCATACGTTTGGTAAACGGGAGAGCGTGCCCCGGAAGAATCTACGTGCGCGCGTCCCTGTCGTTGAAGTGAGAACGAGCTGCACGAGCAGCAGACCCGTCCCTGTGTCACGGGTACCCGCTCTCATGGAAAGAGGTGATATATTAGCACGAATGCGCCGACACGGTTAGGGATCAGAAGATGTACTCACCTCTCCCCATTCGTTGCATATGACTGCTCTGTTAGCTTTGTTAGCAGTCATAGGGATGTGCCAAATAATCATTCATAATGATTTTTTAGCCATGGCCGGGCACGGCTATCGCGGATGGGGAAGCTCCATGGCCCATGATGGGGGCGGCGGACCTCGGCGATCTATCTTCCACCTGATTGCATCAAAAAAAGGGCGTCGATGAATGGAATCGGTGCATTTTGTGTGCTGTGTTTCAGAGTGAAAAAATTTAAGCGCGATTTTGAATGGTTTTGCAAAACGTTCTGCCATCAGCACAGCTTCGGAACGTAAAATGTCTCACTGCAACCATTGCTAGCTCGATAACGCCGTCTAATCAGTACCTCGTCGAACACTTAAAGTTGATGGCTTTCAGCAAACTTCCAACTTCCGATGTCGAAACATCACGAGCGTGTGTCATTTCTTGTTTATATCAACTTCAACTGTGACAAAGTGCTGGTCGTGTTATGCATAAGGTCAGTCACTCTGTTGGCCCACCTGGTCACCAGCCTTATAAGTCCGGTCTACATGCTTTGTCCTTCCAGTTATTGGCATGCCTGTTGAGGTCGCGTGAGTTCAGTTTCCTATTGAGGTGTAGGCATCTTTTGGCAGTGCAAAAGACCCATGTTGTAGTAGCATCTTCCTGGAAAAAATGTGCCATGAGCACACTTTTCTCTAGTCTGAATGTGTTAACCACACTATTCTTAATAAAACGGACTTTTTGTACATCGGACCACCTACTTGAACAATGAACCAGAGCTTTTTTCGATGGTGATATCGGACCGCTGTTCTTGGATGATTTCTGTGAATTACACCTTATTCTTAGCTGCTTTCAAAGTTGCACCTTCAAATGGGTTTGAAGGAGAAGTCATTCGCTCGTTAACTAATTTGTATTCATCCAGTAAAAAAATAAGTAGCTTTACTCGTCAACCGCTTAAATACAAATTTAGATGACAGTTATCTGGAGAGAAATCCGGTTTTAGGGGCTAGGTCAATCTTTGTCGGTTAGGGGGCTATGTCAATCTTTGCCGGTTAGGAGGCTAGGTCATTGGTATCGGCTGAGCTACCCCAACCGATTTATGAAAGCGAAGACCTGTGAATCGCGCTTGAATGTCTGGTTGGAAGCACGGCTCCTGATCAATGATCATCACCCATAGGCGGGGATCAATGCGCTTTGATCTGAGACGCACACCCCTGACCAGGGACGTCACTAGGGACCAGGACCGCCGCATGTGATCTGACGCACACCCCTTGACGAGGGGACTGTCACTGGGGACCGAGGACCGCCGCATGTGATTCTGAGACGCACCACCCCTGACGAGGACGTCCACTAAGGGACCAGGACCGCCGCATGTGATCTGACGCACACCCCTGACGAGGGACTTCACTGGGGACACAGGACCCGCCGCATGTGATCTGACCCACACCCCTGACGAGGGACGTCACTGGGGACCAGGACCGCCGCATGTGATCTGACGCACACCCCTGACGAGGGACGTCACTGGGGACCAGGACCGCCGCATGTGATCTGACGCACACCCCTGACGAGGGACGTCACTGGGGACCAGGACCGCCGCATGTGATCTGAAACCCTCGGTCGCGATCTGCAGCTCGTGTGATGGCCCGCTGCCCCATCCTGTGCCATATGTGAAACCGGCTGGTCCCAGGCTCGACCCCACTGCCCCCATCCGTGCCATATGTGAAACCGGCTGGTCCCAGGCTCGACCCCACTGCCCCCATCCGTGCCATATGTGAAACCTGCTGGTCCCAGGCTCGGCCCCACTGTCCTCATTCGTGCCGTCTGCGACGCTGGCCTGGTCTCAGATTCGGGCCCGCTGCCCCCATACGTGCCGTCCGCTGACACTAGCTGGTCCAAGGTTCGGGCCCGCTGCCCCCATACGTGCCGTTTGTGACACTAGCTGGTCCAAGGCTCGGCCCGCTGCCCCATACGTGCCGTCCGTGACAACGGCCTGGTCCCAGGCGCGGGCCCGCTGCCGCCGCCGCCCAGCGGCATGGTGTATCTGGTGCTGCTCGTGCCGGTGGCGGTGGTGGCTACACTGGCACTGACCGCCATTCTGTGCCTCTGCTATGTCAGCCGTCTACCCCAGGTCAGTGCGTAGCAGCAAACATAGCATCAATGCAAGCTGGTATGAGCGATGCGCCCAGATAAACGTATTGATTTTTTTACACGCGCGTTGATCCCGAACATCAAAATGAACCCACTCGTGGACCCATCAACTCGTTAAACCTCCAACAGCTTCAACACGATCGCTAATTTTTGTTCATGTGAAGGCTTTTCGAATTGTACCGGCATTGCTCCTTATAGTCATTTCGATTGTTTCTGCTCACTTTGCATCTAGATGCCTCGATGCTGCCCAGAATTATTATGAGCAGACAGCCCAGATGCTGGTGCGGAGAGACGGGCTCTTGCCCTGCGGTGGGGGTCGCCACAATCCATGCTGTGGATGTCTTACGATTTTGTTTGGGCAGGCATTAGACGCTGTGTGGGAGCAGCGGAGCGTGATGGTCCTTAGAGCCGCATGTCTGCCACCATTCGTCATTCTTCTGCGCAGACGCCCTGCGGAGCTGAACGCGGCGCAAAGAGTACTCTGATGAACTACGATGAAGCTCGCTATAACACCTCAGAAGCTGAACATCGGAGCCAGCTTCTTCCAGGTGAAATCTGCTGCTCGTGCTTTCTAGCGTTTTGCTTAGCTTGCGAGCTGTTACAACAGATAACGATAACACATCAACAGAACAGCAGGTGCATGGCAGATTATGGTTTCTTCTTAAGTCTTGGTGTTGGAGTCATGGCAGCTCGTAAAGTTCGTCTGAAGCAAGGACTCTCGGGGTCAGACACCTTCACTGAAGATACACCGTGCTCCCTTTGAGTGTAAATGAAGGGGACTTTTGGGACCGCATACAAGGTGCGCCTCACGAACAGTCCATAACACCTCCCCCCCCCCCCCCCCTCCCCCTCCCGTCTGAATTGCTCCGTATTTCTCAAAAGCCTGAGAAACTATTTTCCTCTGAGCATGGTGCCTGCGTCGTACTCAATTTCGAAGGTTGCGGAAAAGACCCTAGGGAGCACCTGTGCGTGGGTTTAGGGCTCCTGCTCACTTCAAGGCTATGGGCGCGCCTCTATTTCGGCCCGGGACAGCCCATCGCTAGGACATTGGGCCGGTTCTCTGTCAAGGCTAGATCACCAGCCTGCCTCGACTTTGTGGGAGCTCCCCTACGTGGGCTTAGAGCACATCTCTTCTTGGGCTTGAAGACACCTCACCACCGAGCGTTAGAGTATCTGTCTAGGGACGAGACCATGTAATCTGCCCTTCTTCCCTCACTTTGCTTCATCCTGCATTCTCACGACGCTCCGTTTATTCTACTTGCATCAGCCACCAGCGGGCTTAGGTGCCTCTGGCGGAGGCTCCTACTCTGTTCGAGCTCTGAGCACATACCCCATGTAGCACATGCCCCATATAAGGGATCGCTTCGTGGCCCTAGCATCAGATGAAAACCTTCGGGTGCATGTATCTCTCCCAATTTGCATCCGCTACCCTTCATTCTACGGCACTGAAACGGTCACTACGGGCCAAAGGGGCTCTAACCCAAACCGAAGCGAACCGGCGCCCGCCTTGCTCACGCTGCCCGCGTGCTCTGGCGCCGTCTTGCTCACGCTGTCCGCGGCAAAGCATCGGTCCAATGTCCTAGCGATGGGCTGTCCCGGGTCGACACAGAGGCGCACCTAAAGCCTCGAAGTGGACGGGAGCCCTAAACCCACGCGCAGGTGTTCCGCGAGGTCTTTCCCGCGACCTTTGAACTTGAGAACGATGCATGGACCATGCTCAGAGCTAGATAGTTTCTTAGGTTTTTGAGAAGTGCGGAGAGGTTCAAACAGGAAGGGGGTGTTGTGTGGTGTGTGGGGAGGTAGTGTCGTAGACTGCTCGCAGAGGCATACCTTGTATGCAGTTCCAAAAGCCCCTTTCATTTACACTCAAAAGGAGTTCAGTATATCGTCAGTGAGGTTGTCTGATTCAAAAACCCTTACTTCGAGACAAGCTCCACAAGATACCATGACTTCAAATTCGAGATTCGAGGAGAAATCATAAGCTGCCATGCACCTGTTGTTTTGCTGATGTGTTCTGTGCCCCGGCGCCCGTTTCACTCACGCTGTCCGCGTGCTCCGGCGCCCGTTTCACTCACGCTGTCCGAGTGCTCCGGCGCCCGTTTCACTCACGCTGTCCGCGTGCTCCGGCGCACGTGCTCTGGTATCCCTCGCCTGGGTGCCGCGTGTTTTGGTGCCCCCCCCCCCCCTTCATCTGCGTTACCCGCGTGTTCCAGCGCCCGTCGCGCTTGTGGTGTTGTGTTCCGGTGCCTTCCCTCTCACACTCGGTGTCCACGTGCTCAAGTGCCTTCCCCCCTCCCCCCCCCCGCCCCTGGACAAGTTAGTTTCATTTATGTTAGCTCTACTTATTGGATTTAGTCGATGTTTTTTTGCAGAGGCCCTTGCAGCTTTAAAATGTATTCCCTCGGTCGAGCATGGGCTCAAGACGCTGCTGCAGGTCTCGCGAGATTCGCATCTCCCATTGTTTTGCCGAATTTATTGGCATAAATGTTAGTGAAATTATCGAGACAAATACCAATGAAACATGAACTTGGGGGCCTTCGGGGGCATCGAAGGAACCATTCTGCCGCCCTTCATGCAAACCAAGGGAATATTCCAAAGTCGAAATATTTAAGGGACAGGTTGATAACCGTCCTTGCCGTTTATGACCTTTCGGCTATATGTTAGGTAGGTGATGTAAGTGTCAGGTCTGGGTGCTTTAAAAAGAGTGTAAGAGTTTCCTGTGTTTTTTCTCTTATTATTCAACAGCTAACGCAAAAAAATCATTTGAAGTAAAGGGTGGGATTGCTTTGATGATTATTGGTAGCGAGCTCCTTCTCAGCGTCGGATGTAGTCACTCTTGACCTCGTTATGCCCGATCGGCTCACGTTTTATCGTCAGCTTCCGGTGGACACAACTTTGGTATGACATAGATTATAATCATGTGACTTCGAAATAATGTCAACAGTCATACGTAAGAGTGCTAGTGTTGTTTTATAGCCTAATGAGCTTAATGGCAGTATGCATGCTTCGTACCCTGGTGGCCGAAATTAGAGCCTCTCGTTCCCTTGCGCCGCAGGCTCAGAGCCATCTCGCGGTCTCTCAGAAAGCTACAGCTCACAGCTCTGCCACGGGCGTCGCTACCATCAGCTGCGCCTACACCCCTCGCCAACACCCGATCGTCGTTGGTGTCCGAGAGAACGCACATGCGTGGAGCGTCGCCTCGGGAGCAGTTCAACTCCCATCGGATGTACCTGCCGACCACTACCAGAATCAAACTCCTCGCTGGCGTGCGCTGGGCGTCCGCCGCGCGCGATACCAGCGCAGTATGCATGCTGAGCTGCGGAAATATCGCGCCTTGTGAGGGCGGGAGACAGAAGAATAACGGCATCAGGATTAAAACTGGTCGCTTAGTTTGAAGTATGGGCGTTCCCAGCTGTGATATGGGCCCACGCCACCCAGCAATGGTGCGGTGGGGTGGACAATAGTGACTGGAGATTTCGCTGGAGCGAAGCCTTTCGGCGGGTAAGCCGTCCCGTCTTTGCCGCCAGCGGGTGCTTTGTTGTATTCGTATGGTCATGAGGCCCGATCCATGTGTGATTTAGATCCTAGACCAGGCTCCAAACCAGTGCAAGGCACCGGCTGTGTCTCTAATGTGGTTTGTGAACCAACCCAAGGTTTGCGTGGCGTGGAGGGACATGTCACGTCAACATGTCAACATGTCAAGCCTCCTTGAAGAGCTGGTGGTGTGGGAGGCAGTGGTCTGGGCTGATGGTGAGTGAGGCAGTGGCCTGGGCTGATGGTGAGTGAGGCAGTGGCCTGGGCTGATGGTGAGTGAGGCAGTGGCCTGGGCTGATGGTGAGTGAGGCAGTGGTCTGGGTTGATGGTGAGTGAGGCAGTGGTCTGGGTTGATGGTGTGGAAGGCACTGGTCGGAGCTGACGTGTCCGGCGGAGGTGAGCCTGCTGGTGTAATCGATTACCGATTGGGAGGCATGCGCTCGGCCGCGGAGCGGGAAAAGGCTTGGTCCGGTTTGCTGTGCTAGTCATCGGAACAAGTATTTGCCCGCGCTAGATCATCTGAACAAGTATTTGCCTGCGCCAGGTCATATGACGCGCGCGGGACGAATGTACCAGTGGACGGGACGTCACAGACAGGCCGGTTAGGTGTGATATGCTCGGAGTATGCGCCCACGCTCTGGCTTATGACCAAACGGCGACCATGATTAAATCCTATTCTGATGGTGCATCGGTTTGGCTTGGCGACTTGGTGGAAACAGCTCCTAAAATCACAGGCATGCGCGAATAAGCAGCTCTCAAATTCATCAGGGGCTATCATGGTTAGCAGCGGGCACTCACGTTTCTTTTCTGAATCGTGCATTGGATACGGAACCTAATTGATATATTTCCAGCTATGTGGGACCATAAGCGTGATAGCATTGCAAACACAGCATTTCCCAAACGTCCTTCCTCGAAAGTTAATAACAAAGCTCGATTTCATGGCAACAGCATATTGCCCCAATATGCTTTGCATATCACAGAGCAGCGATCAACAGCACTCGCCACGTAGACATGGCTGGTCACATCTCCTGTCGGCAAGTTCGCGACGGCAATACAAATACATATACCATAATATAACGGTGTGGTAATGCCTAGTGGCACCGTTAATGCCTAGTGGCATTACCTGAGCGACACGGAAGCTCGCCCAGCGCTCGACGAGTGAGGTGAGTACATCCTGCGGTGTATCTAGAGCACGTCTCTCGTCGGCAGGCCCATGTGGCCTGATGGCGAAATAGAGCTACGCGCAGTAACAGGTACTCGTCTAAAAATCAAACGTAAGCGACAAGCCAAACGAGAGGTCATTCAGCTGGAGTACGTCGGAAGGCAAATCATGTCGTTAAACACACAACGCAAGCGGCTTTGCACAATCATGCACATCTCAGCGAAGTCAATGATCCATCGTACATGTCTGTGTTCTCGCTTATCTCTCGCGATCAGGTAAAGATACTCCCGCATTACGGCTGGATGCCTTTGAGACCTGTGCGCCGTGAACATCATCGACTTAATTCGAGCTGCATGTCACACACGCATGAGCGTAACTCTTTCCTGGGACCCCACCGTCTCGTTAGTAGCCTTGGTTGAGCGATTTCTGCGCTATTTAATCGCTTCCAAGATGACATTCGTGAGAGGCTACTGGTGCATAATGTTAAATTACAAAATAAGCGGTAGCACTTGTTCTCCCGTTCTTCTGTGGAGAAGCCTTTGTCTCGCGGCCTCTCGCTTCTCAGCCATGGAGCTTTCATCCACAAATTGTCATCGAAAGCGAAGCGACCGCGCATGATGAATGGCGGCATCAACAGACCCACAGACCACAATCAACAGACCCGCAGACCACTTGCCCCGCGCATCTGGTTACAGCTGGCCCGCTCAAAGCATACTGTCTTGCTTGGCGCTTGGCGTCAGCGCCAGCGCACCAGGCGCTGGCGAGGCGCTGGAGCTTGGCACGAGGCGCTAGCGTACCAGGCGGGGGCGAGTGGCCGCTCCTTAAGTACGGCGGCGGCAGGACGCCATTGGCATCGGTCTGGCACCGCTGCCACTGCACCCGCGGCTTAGTCCGCTGCGAGCCGGCTGAAGGTTCCCCGTTGAGAGGCGAGCCGGAGCCGTCACACCCCGTCCTCATCAGTGGGGTGGCTGCTGTGGGTGGCGACAATGGCGAACCGCGGGCACATCGTATCGCGATCAGGAGTTGTGGCCTCTAAACTACTGGCAACACCTCCGTAAGACGAGACTAATCAACGATGCGGCAGTGATGTGCTGCCCTATATACCAAAGCCATTCCATAGCCGTAGCCGTAGCAGCTTCCCCGATATCAAAGCCTGGATACGCCTCTGGAAGCATACAAAATGGACCCGTGATCGTCCGCACGGGGCGCCTTTGTGTGGGGTCACGAACACTGCGGTTACAGGACAGCCGTCTGCCGGACCCTGCGCTGGATCTGCTGCTGGTCCTCCTCCACCGGCAGACAGGGCGTCGGCAGGGGGTCATTCCAGGGCTGCAGCTGGGTCGAGCCGAACAGGCAGAATATGGTGTTGCCGAAGGCGAAGAGACCGGCCGCCGTCAGAAACACCGTTCGCCAGTTGGCCAGGGAGGGCTGAGGAGCACCAGGGACTGTCAGATTGGGAACGCTGTGGGCACTATTAGATGTTTCACGTCCAACAACTAGGACGGCAATGAGACGAGATGTTCCGACTGGGACCGCTGCTCGTTCCATGCACACATGGAAGAGGGCCCCGTCATGCACCGCCTGGCGGACTGAGGCGTGCCTCATTAGCAGACCTCTTGCTCTCTCGGGCCAAACGAAATTGTAAATCGCACATTGTGACATTGACAGCAGTGGACCATCACTTCAAACTAATAGCTCGTGCAGCGCTCTTCCGTGCCGCCTCTCGTGTGGCCTCCTGCAGCCGGGTCGGGCGTACTCGCCGGCCGTAGCGGACGTGCTCACCTGCTGGTTGAGGACGTAGCCTGCCTGGAACGGCGCGAGCACGCCGGCCAGCGTGGCCACGCAGTTGGTTAGGCCCATGAGCGTGCCGGCAAAGTTGGGCGCCAGGTCCATGTGGTTGATGTTGTAGCCTGTCGGGAGGGGGGGGGGGGGGATTACTGGTGGAGGGCGTGAAGAGGCGTGACGAGCGCCTAGTGTTACGAATCGTGCGTAGAACTGAGACATTCCCGTCCGTGAAGGTTCCCGTCATTCCCATCATTCGCGTGAGTCAGTGAAGGAAGGGACACGCCGGCGCATACTCATACACCCTCTCGCCTTCGGAGATGGCTGGTGTCACGAGTTGTGATCTTTAAGACTGAGCAGTCGGCGGAGCAGACTCGGTCGCATGCACCTCAGTCAGTGGAGGTACGGCTTCGCCAGCAGCAGTCGCGGCGGGACTCTTCACCCAGCGAATGGGGCCTGAACCCTCGACCGATACTTGAGGCGATGACCTGGAACGCGCTGTACCGCGTAGCTTGGCCTGCTGGCCTTATTACCCGGAGCAGTTGTTTGCACGGCCGGCCGACGCAGCCCAGATAAGGTACGACTCCTGCCACGGTTACGGGGCGCCGTGGCGGCGGCGTGGCGCCGAGCCCCCGCATGGCAGCGAACGGCTGGGAGCGCCACGAATCGGACCGCGTTCGGCTTTGGCGGTGGAACATTTTTAGAGTGGAGCAACCCGTCACTTACATATTTTTGTATGCAGTGGCACAGGGCCAGTGCACAATGGTTATTGGCTAGTCCGTCTGACAGTTAACCGTTCTCCCGCCCCTGCACCGTGATAGGTCGCCCCCGCCAATCGGTCACGAACACATGGAGAGGGAAGGAGGCTATCTCTGCACGTGGCCGATTGCCACAATGCAGACGGATCAGCCTCGTTGGCGGCTTGATCAGTGGAACGGTAATCGGCATGCCTACTAGGTGTTTAGACACATGGAGAGAACAGTTGGGTCATACACAATGATGCTCCTGTACTAATCTGGTCTTACCTGAACAAGCTCGTGGACGCGGCTTCATAGATATTTATGAATTTTTATGGTCGACTGTCCTCGCCGGGACTGATCCATGCCATGGACGACGTGAATAGAGCCTGCTGATGGAGGGGTATGACGACTCCATACATTACATACTGATGGCGAAAGTTTTACCTCGGGGGATTGCAGAAGTAAATCGTCAAGAGCGAAATCTATTTACTCATACACATTGAAGCTCAACGTGCTTCATGAACTCGGCGAAGGCTGCTGAGGCACAAAAAAAGAAAACGAAATTTTGTACAACAGCAAAGTATGACTGCGCTCAACTTTGCAACACGCTAAATAGGTGACTGTTGGCTAGCATGCCAGTCAGGTAGCACGCCAGCCCTCAGAAAATATCGTAAGGTGAGCGCATTGATGACGTCACACCTCGTTTTGGAAAACCAAAGGGCAAATCGTCCAAACAGGAGCAGGGCCAAGGATAGCTAACGGGTATGTTTAAAAGGCATGCCAAAACTGTGAACCACTTATTCACAGTCCAACCGTGAACCGCCGTCCGCACGCCACCAAAAAGACATGCCCAACATTCAAAGTAATGGGCGATACAGCAGCCAGCTGACTGAATGAGCTGTTTCCGCTCCACTGATGTCATCAAATATGTTGTATATGACGTCATGCCGGCTTTGTGTCCAGACTACCACTTTTCTCACGCAGCTCGATGTTGCCACTTTTCGATAGTGTTAAATTGTACGGATGACATCCCCTGGGTAGGGCCTAGATAAGTCGTAAAGAACTGATGCGTAATGAATCATCTGTTCTCGTCACGTGTCAATGTTGTAGTTTACCTTGAGCGTCAGTTTGCAGCGTCATATGTATGGTTCATTTTTAACGTGAAGCACATGCATCACGTTTTTACTTTGCGTAATTATGAACTAAATCAGCGTGAAACCGGCTTGAGATCGCATGCATTTTTCTAAAACCTGCAGTCAGGGTCAA